GTTAGAGAAGATTGATCTGGCTGTGGTTAGAATTACACTGACTGCACTGACTGACGGGCAGTTTGCGTGAGTGAAAGGGCAGTCTGTGTGAGTGTGTATGGGGCGATGGGTGGAGTCGGGTAAAGAGCAAGCATAACAAGGATAAGAAGCACTGTAAGAAGACACTGTGAACTGTGATAGGGAAAGGGGAAATGACTTTTCGATAAAGAAACCGCATGTAATGAGTCTGCTTTTGAGTAGACTCAAAAGCAGTGCACTTTGAACTGCTACAGGGGACGTTGAAACGCGGCAATGCAGGGAAGGAGTGAAATAGAGGACGGAAGCAAAGCACAAAATGACAGCGTCCATCATGAGCAAGGCTGCTCTCACCTCGAACGTGAAGGCGAGAGGCACGCGCAGCACATCGTACATCCAGTCAGTGGCTGTGCCATGGGCAAAGTAGCTGTGGAGGGGAGAGAGGAGGGGAGGAGGAACGGTTGGAGTAAGAAGGGGGAGCAGTCAAGAGAGGGGAGGAAAGAAGCACATCGTACATCCAGTCAGTGGCTGTGCCATGGGAGAAGCACCTGTGGTGGATAGATAGAAGGGAAGGGGGGAGGAGGAGAACACATCCCAAGGCCATGCTGAAACCCACTCGCAGCTTTTCGTACATCCAGTCAGTGGCCGTGCCATGGGAGAAGCACCTGTGGTGGATAGATAGAAGGGAAGGGGGGAGGAGGAGAACACATCCCAAGGCCATGCTGAAACCCACTCGCAGCTTTTCGTACATCCAGTCAGTGGCCGTGCCATGGGAGAAGCACCTGTGGTGGATAGATAGAAGGGAAGGGGGGAGGAGGAGAACACATCCCAAGGCCATGCTGAAACCCACTCGCAGCTTTTCGTACATCCAGTCAGTGGCCGTGCCATGGGAGAAGCACCTGTGGTGGATAGAAAAAAGGGGAGAGAAGGAGAAGATGGGACGACGGTTGTGACGGGGCACTCTGCAAATGCTTTGCACGTCATATGAATTAGGGTTTGAGAGGGTAGGTAGGTGTGGGAGGCTTGTGGGGGCGTTTAATCAGTGAGGGTAGACACAAGGCCGTCCAGAGAGAGAGAGGTGATTCCCATCAAGGGGAAAACTGCACCACTTTCAACCTCACTTCGCCACATTTTACCTTGCAACACCACCTTTAACCTTGCAACACCACCTTCAACCTTGCAACACCACCTTGCAAACCTCGCAGCACTCACCCCACAAAGCCCCCTCCAGAGCCGATGACACAGCGAGCACCACAGTGAGATGCATCCAGGCGCTCCAAGAGGGACTGGTGCGGGGAGAGAGGGGATGTGGAGCACAGGAGAATCAGCAGCGGGGGGGAGCGCACAGCCACACAGTGATACAATGACACAGCGAGCACCACAGTGAGATGCATCCAGGCGCTCCAATAGGGACTGGCGAAAGAAGAAAAGAAAGGGAGGGGGAAAGAGGGGAGACGGCGGGAAGAGAAGGGGTACAGATGTGCGTGTTGGTGTCACATCGAGCACCACAGTGGGATGCATCGAGAAGAGGGGAGAGATTGATGTTAGAGGGGTGCAAACGTGGTATTCATGTTGTGACACACACAGCGAGCACGGCAGTGGGTATCTACTTGCAGCGAGTGTGCTCTTATCAAGGCCATCCCCCCGGTGGCCCAGCGGGGTAAATAGAGCCTCCATGCCCGAATGCACGTTCACTGAATCACGCCCACTACTCGCCCCACCCTGAATTCTCCACTTACATGCATGCCAGCGAGTGTACTCCCATCTACACCGTCCCCCCGGTGGTCCAGCCGTGTGAAAAGCGCCTCCATGCCCGAATGCACGTTCACCCACACGTGTGATCAGAACCCCCTTCCCTCCCTTCCATTCTCCCTCACTCACATGCATGCCAGCGAGTGTACTCCCATTTACACCGTCCCCCCGGTGGTCCAGCGGGGTAAAAAGCGCCTCCATGCCCGAATGCACGTTCACCCACACATGCGGTCGCAGCCACACTCAACCTCTCAAACCCTACCAAACCCACCCCCCCACCCCCCCTTCCTCACATGCATGCCAGCGAGTGTGGTCTTATCCACGCCATCCCCTCGATGGTCAAGGGGAGTGAAAAGCGCCTCCATGCCCGAGTGCACGTTCACCCACACGTGTGGTCGCAGCCACACCGCCAGCTGCCTCATTGCCTCCGCCTCTGGCTCGCTGAAGGGATGGGCCCCAGGGGCTTCCTCTAAAGGGTTGTAGTCCTGGTGGGTCAAGAGAGCAAGAGAGCAAGGCAGGATAGAGGGAGTGTGCATGCAAGTGAGGTTGGTTCACCCACACATGCGGTCAGAACCACACCGCCAGCTGCCTCATTGCCTCTGCCTCTGGCTCGCTGAATGCATGGGTACCTGGGGTCCCTTTTAAAGGATAGTAGTCCTGGAGGGTCTGAGAGGGAGTGAGGGAGATGAGGGAGAGTGAGACTACTGATGTGATACACTCAGCCACACCGCCAGCTGCCTCATTGCCTCTGCCTCTGGCTCGCTGAATGCATGGGTACCTGGGGTCCCTTTTAAAGGATTGTAGTCCTGGAGGGTCTGAGAGGGAGTGAGGGAGATGAGGGAGAGTGAGACTACTGATGTGATACACTCAGCCACACCGCCAGCTGCCTCATTGCCTCTGCCTCTGGCTCGCTGAATGCATGGGTACCTGGGGTCCCTTTTGAAGGATTGTAGTCCTGGAGGGTCTGAGAGGGAGTGAGGGAGATGAGGGAGAGTGAGACTACTGATGTGATACACTCAGCCACACCGCCAGCTGCCTCATTGCCTCTGCCTCTGGCTCGCTCAATGCATGCGTGCCAGGAGCTTCCTCTAAAGGGTTGTAACCCCGAGAGGCGACAGAGAAAGGGAAGAGAGACCGAAAGAGAGCAAGGAAGTGTGTATGTGTGGTTCACCCACACTTGTGGTCGGAGCCACACCGCCAGCCGCCTCATTGCATCTGCCTCTGGCTCGCATAACGCGTGGCCTCCTCCAAAAAGTTGTAGTCCTGCAGGAGCGAGCGCTAGAAAGGAGCAAGAGATATAGAGAACGAGGGAGCATGGGCCAGGGGGTTTATTCTTCTAGAAGATTGTCGTTTTGCAGGGCAAGAGATAGAGAACGAGGGAGCATGAGAAGGGTGTGGCGTGATGTGGAATTGCATGGTGCAATGTGGTATGGCATGGTGCAGCAGGTAGCCTACCTTTTCTTTCACTCCCCAGTCGCAGACCCAGTTCCTGTTGATATCCACACCTCGACCTGCCATGGAGGATGGGCCATGGCTTGGCGTGATGTGGCATTGTGTGGTGCGGTTCAGTGTGGTGTGGAGTGGTGTGGCATGGTGTGGAATGGTGTGAAACCCTACCTTTTCTTTCACGCCCCAGTCGCAGTCCCAGTTCCTGTTGATGTCCACACCTCGACCTGCCATGGTGACATGGGGGAAGGGCCATGGGGAAAGGTCATGGGGGAAGGGCCATGGGGGAAAGGTCATGGGGGAAGGGCCATGGGGGAAAGGTCATGCGGGAAGGGCCATGGGGGAAAGGTCATGGGGGAAAGGTCATGGGGGAAGGGCCATGGGGGAAGGGCCATGGGGGAAGGGCGGAGGGGAGGAGTTTGAGAGCAACGGGTCGAGTTGAGTTAAAAGGAGGAGGCTTGCCGTAACGTACTCATCTTTGAAGAACTCTTTGTGCAAATCAAGAATAAAATTTAACGCTTATAGAAAATGATTCACGGTGGATTGGTCCTTAATGACAACTCCCGTAACGTAATCAACCGGGGTTGAGTTTTTTCAAAAACCAAGCAGGCATTTCTTCTGAATGGTGGTGGTCCCAGTTCTCTGGTGTTGCCACATTTTCCGAAAACACGCTCGACTTGTTGCGCTTTACATTACAACCCCGCCCGTTGTTGTTACATAGAATTTCTCCTCCTCGTTACATCTCTGCTCGTTACATCTCGCCTCGTTACATCTCTGCTCGTTACATTACATCTCATCTCACCGTTTCGCCGCTCACAAAGCTCGCCCGCCTCCACCTTCCTCCTCCCGTTCACATTCTCCATGGGCACAATCTGCGAGCAACAGAGCAGCAAAGCAGCAGAGCAACAGCGCAGGCACAAAAAAAACAATTATTCCAGCGCTCAACAAAAATCCACCTTCCTCCTCCCGTTCACATTCTCCATGGGCACCACCTGCAAGCAACAGAGCAGCAGAGCAGGCACAGAGAAACTATCTTTCAAGTGCCTCAGACCCGACCTGCCTCCACCTTCCTCCTCCCGTTCACATTCTCCATCGGCACAACCTGCAAGCAACAGGCACAATCGGATTGCAAGTAACAGAGCAGCAGAGCAGGCACAAAGAAACAGTTCTTCAAGTGCCTCAAAACAAAACTGACCCGCCTTCACCTTCCTCCTCCCGTTCACATTCTCCATGGGCACAATCTGCAAGCAACAGGCACAATTGGATTGCAAGTAACAGAGCAGCAGAGCAGGAACATTTTTTTCAAGTGCCTCAAAACAAAACTGACCCGCCTTCACCTTCCTCCTCCCGTTCACATTCTCCATGGGCACAATCTGCGATAAACAGGACCAGCAGAGCACAATAGTCATTCCCAAGAGCCATAGGATACTGTTTACTTGGTCAGTCGTCGTCGAACCACAGGTCAACTCACCGTGATAACCAGGTGCGGCCAGATCAGTGCCAGTTGCTCCCAGCTGACTTTTGAGTTGACTCACAAGTCACCACAGTCATTTTTCCAGTCACCTCAAAGGGCACTCACCGTGATAACCAGGTGCGGCCAGATCAGTGCCAGTTGCTCCCAGCTGACTTTTGAGTTGACTCACAAGTCACCACAGTCATTTTTCCAGTCACCTCAAAGGGCACTCACCGTGATAACCAGGTGTGGGCAGACCAGTGCCAGTTGCTCCCAGCTGACTTTTAAGTCGACTCAGAAATCATCAAAGGCCATTGTTGAGTTGGCAAAAAATTCAACCCACCGTGATGACCAGGTGTCGCCAGATCAAAGCCAGTTGCTCCCAGCTGATTCCTTCCCCAGATCCCTCCTTGGCTCCCTCCTCCTTCTGCCCCACCCCCGTCTCCTCCCCACTCCTCTCCTCCTCTACTTCCATCTCCCCTTCCTTATCCTCTCCCTCCTCATCTTTCTCCCCTCCTCCTGGCTCGTTGCTTTTCCCCATCCCCCCCTGCTCAACCACCCCCCTCTCCCCCACAAGAACCTTGAGAAGGTTAAAGCCTAACTCAGTAGTAATGGCTTCTCGTCCGTGCTGCCCAAACACCTTCAGCCTTGAGGGCAGGGGGTGGGGGAGAGGGGAAGGGGCAGGGTGTGGGCGGGAAGGGGAAAGGGGAAGAGGAAGGAGGCAGGCATAGTGAGGCACGAGTTAGCGGAGCGGACAAAGAAAACCCCCCCGTTTCTTCATCCCTCTCTTCTCCGCCATGCTCCTCTCCCCTACGAGAGCCCGGAGAGGGTTAAAAACCGGAAGCTACAAGCCAGGTCAGTGCTGTGCAACACATGTGGAGAGGGTCAGTGCGTTGGAAGCAAGGACCTACATGAAGCAAACACGGGTGGTACTTACAAGGAGAATGCGCAGCTTCCCTGATAGCTCGGAAGGAAGAACCGAGGAGAGCCCTTCCACTGTATCTGCACTGCTGCACGACTCGTTGCTGCGGCCGTCCTGCCTCTTGAAGTATTGCGCATCGCCCCCGAAACCACTGAACGTGCCCTCGTCTGCTGCTGTAGTCTCCGCCGATTCTCTCGCCCCTGCCACATCACCGTTTGCACTCGCCACGTCACTGTGTGCAGTAGCCACGTCACCCAGTGCAATTGCTGAGTCTTTCTCTGCTGTGGCAGCATCACCAGGTACACCTGTCCCCTTGTTTTCTGCGTCAGAAACAGCTCGCACAGAAGGTTCCCCGATAGCAGCGCCTTGAGCAAATTCACCTTGCATTTCAGTAGCATCAGCAGCCGCAGCAGAAGCAGCCGTAGCACCACCATCACCAGCACCACCAGCAGCGGCTGCAGCAGAAGCAGCAACCGGCATCAACAGATCATACTTCAGAGAGGTGACAGGGAGAGGGGAATGCCTGCCAGGCTGAATGCTGCGCAGGTGCCGCCTGAGCGAGGGAGTTCTGACCGCATCTGAGTGGAGAGCGGTTGTGAGGTTTGTCTCCTTCTCTTTGCTTTCCTTGCTCTCCCCGCCAACCCTGTTCTCACCAGGATTGCTCCCCGTGCTCCTCTCACTCCTCCCACTCCTCTCACTGCTAACTATGCTGCTTCTGCTGCTGACAAGGCGCCTGTGCGTGCTGCTACCCGCCCCATCCCTTCTCCTCATCCAATGCTCCCTTTCCACCCTTTCCACAGCCCCATGCCGTCCGTCCAAACCCCATACAACTCTTTCCAAGCCTGAACTGGAGGTTCGGGTCGAGCCTGCACCCGAGGCTACATGTCTGTCAGCTTGGGAGCGAGGCAGTGGGATGCGGGCACAGTGTAGCATGACTGCAGTGAGGGTTGACTTGTACCGGCCAGAAGACTGAATCGTTATCTCCTTAAGCTGCATTGGTGTTGGAAGACATCGCAGGAGAGCATACGGCAGGAAAAAGGAAACGGAAGAATCAACACTTGACGTCCCGTCGTCCTGACTGAGACACAACTGGTTGGAATTGTAGTTAAAGTAAACTATGCTCCTGCTCAAACCATCACCTTGAGCCAGGAACAGCTGCACAGATCTTCTAAGGCGAATTGGCTCAAAATTTGAGCTGAATTGAAGCATGCTTCGGCTCAAACCACCACTACTGCCTTGAGCCAGGAACAGCTGCTTATATGATCCCCGTCGGTGCAATGACAAGAGACAGCTCACCTCTGCAGCATGGGGATGCCGGGCTGCAAGCGCTCGAACCCTGCGAACTGGCTTTTGGGTCGACTCAAAAGGCAAGCTCACCTCTGCAGCATGGGGATGCCGGGCTGCAAGCGCGCGAATCTCGCGCAGCAGTGCATCGCTGCGTTGGATTGGTCAACACGGTAATCATATGGGAGGAGGGAGGGGGGGGGGGGGGGGGGGAGGGGGGAAGGGAGAGGAGGAGGGGAGGGTAGGGGATTCGAGATAAGTGTTTTTTTTAATGAAAAAAAGACTCAGGTGGAAGATAGGTCGCAGCCGAGGACGAGACGGGGGAAGGCCAGAGAAAAAGAACCCTGGGGTAAATGCATGCAGGGCCTAAAATAACAGTTGATACCCCGAAGAAGTGGCTTAATGCCAGAGCGAGGAATCGAACCTGGGACGAGGATCTAAAGTGGGGACGCATGGGTTCGAACCTGGAGTGGTAGAGAGTGAAGTTGAAGGGTGTGATCTTCGGTGGTTTGGAGGGGTTCGACGCGGTCGAGTCATTGTTGCTGTCAAGAGTCTGAGCCGTCGCATTAGGCGGCTCTTGCGTCTCGGTAGCTCGTGAAGCGGAGAGAGCAGGACCGAGCAGAAATAGAAGAGCGATAAATGCCTGGAGATGCGGGGATTAAGGTGGAAAATTTTGATACGATATTGACGGCGGCTTGTCAGGCCTTCTATCTGCTTCTGTAACAAGATGGACAGACAATTGTGCTGCTATAACGAGTTCCGCGTGCAGTCCGCGTACTGTACCTTAGTGTTACTACAGCGGTGAAGGCGACGAAGACGGAACGGATGATGGTGTAGACATTGTAGCGATTCACTGGACCAGATGCGGCCGCCGTGCATTGCGGACGCGAGAAAGCTCGCTCGTTCCAAGATTAGAGACAACTGAGCCGTCTAATTTCGTTCAGCAAATCTGCACGTCACGTTTCGACGAATTGCTGCCATGGTTGTCGCCATAAACATTATGGAATGTAGGCCTTTCCGCAAAGCAGCGGTTGGTTCTACGTGCAGATGTATTTCCGATCAGGGTATCAATTCACGGACATTTGCCCACTTTCCCTGACAATTCAGGGCTAGTTATATCTCAGCTCAGAGGTTTCCAGGGTCGATTTTTCCCCTGACCCGGATTCCTAACGGACAGCATGGGGTTTTTCTCCAGACGGGTCGAAACGGTCGTTCTGCAACTGCTGATACGAAATTCGCATGTAATGGGAGTGGGAAGGGTGGAAAATCCCCGGGGAGATAACAAAATATAATTGATACAGTTTGAAGGGTTGGGAGATCTTCGATGTTCGACAAAAAAATCCTCATTATAATACCTTGTTGTAGCTTGGTTTTCGACAGTTGAACCTTCTTATTACAGAGTCGTTTAGGAGATTACCCATCGCTCTTTTGTGCCCTTTAAATTACACCTACTTTCAAAGAATAGCCCACCGTCATAATGGGGCCTGGCTATGATTCCCGCCGCAAGCACCACCGTGCCTGATCCACGAACCCGTGAAGATCGTTCGTAAAGTGCTCCTCCAGAAATATGTCACTGAAGAGTGGGAAATCCCAGGGAGAGGTAAGACTTCATAATACAAACAAATTGAAGGGTATCTGATGTTCGTCAGACACCATCATTAAATACCTTGTTATAGCTCTGTTTTCGACATTAGAGCCTTCGTAAAGCGGAGTCATTTAGAAGATTACTTGTTACTCTTCTATACCCTTTAAATTACACCTCATTTTAAAGCATAGCCATCCGTCACGATGGGGCATGGCTATGATTTTCGCTGCAAACACCACCGTGCCTGTCCACGAACCTGTGAATTCGTTCGTAAAGTGCTCCACAAATACGTCACTGAAGAGTGGGAAATTCCGAGGAGAGGCAAAACTTCTTAATATAAACAATTTGAAGGGCGTAGAAGAGCTTCGGACGTTAGACAAACAACGTCATTAAAAATAACTTGTTATAGCTTTTTTTTGTCGGCGGTTGAACCTTCCTAAAACGGAGTCGTTTAGAAGATTACTCGTCACTTATTTGTACCCTTTTAAATACACCTCCTTTTAAAGCATAACCCCCCGGTCAACGATAAGGCCTGGCTATGAGTCCCGCTGCAAGCACCACTGTTTTTCAACTGCCCTCTCTCGTTGTGTGGTGAGCTGGTTACCATTCGTAAGCGCTGACGAAGTTACCACCTCGTGTCTTAGATGCGATTTGGAACTCTTGCCTCGCCTCCAACGGCTCTGTCTGCGCCTTTCCGTCGCCTTGTTCGTGCAACGCGAAACACTGCGGAGTCCCAGTTCGGAGTTGTAGGTTTCGCTGAACGTGGCAGCACGGGTGCTGTCGCCATCATTCTCGTCCACTAGTTCGCTGACCCCCATTTCGCAAAAATCAGGCCCTTGCGAATATCGGGGGGAATTTGTGGATGGGTGTTATGCATTGTAAGGGGCAACATCACCAATCTGCACCGTGCTTAAGAATCACTGAAACAGACTGGACCGTTTACAACCTTCTAACTGGTACAGATATGGAATGGTACAGTAAGGTCAAATTTCGAGGTTGAAAGCAACCCTCGAGTTCACCATTTTGCTTGGATTGGCTGGGCTACCGTACTGTGTGCATGGATGATCAACCACCGCCAACCTTGCAGCAACGAGTGTCCCGCCATAATCTAGGTTCTGGTTAGCGATCTACTTCATTAGCTGTTTATTGGAGGCGTAGCTGCTGCGGATAGTAATCCAACCCAGTTCCCGTGTTCAGTCCCCTCGTTTCTTCCTTCCGCCCAACCGTTTGTTCGCCAGCCTGTTTTTGCGATGTAGAACGTAATAATATAGTTAGGAAAATCGTTTTATAGAGCTACCAGATTGGGTCCTCTCATGGAGAGGCACGACTGGCGCACCCATGTTACGCAGAAAGGATCGATCAGCATCAAGGTACATGTTTGAAAAATCGCATTGCTCCCTGGTCTGCGCCTCTGCTAAGTACAGTCGACGCCTGTTCGCAAAGTCCGCGAAGCATGGTGATCGACGCTTGAGCCCTCGTTTTCGACCCCTTTTTTCTGAGCTACTCGGATCTTCGATGACTCTCTCTACGGCTGAGATGTTACTCTTGAGTCGGCTCAAAAGTCACCTCGTTTCCGGCCCCTTCTTATTCAGAGCTACTCGGAACCCCGATGACGATTTCTACCCCAAGCTACTTGAAACTATTGTTGTTTGAGTTTCTTTCTCATAGTGACCCGTTGCCGCGTTTCCTGTTTATTTTTCCTCCTGCAGAATAAAGTTCGCACGGCGACTGTCGCAGGAGCCAGCGGGCACATCAGTAACCCGTCGCAACGTGCTGATGTGGACGTGTCGCTAAAGGACTCCACACCGCAGTCAGCTGCTGGAGAGGTTCGGTCCCAACCTGAGGCGCAGCCTCGGAAAGTTTCACGAGAAGCATCGTCAGCTCCAGATCAAGAAAAGAAGCGGCACCAACCATCCTTTCAGCACCAACAGCAGCTTCAGCAGCTTCAGCAGCAACAGCAGCAACAGCAGCAGCAGCTAGGAGCGCAGCCGAAGCGGCAGAAGCAGGATGAGTCATCTTCAGCTTCAAGGCATAGAGACGCTTATTCCAGGGTAAGAAAAGCACTTTCCGGTGGGTATGAATCAAGATGTTGACTATTTTCTAGGTATGAAGTTTCATACCAGAGAAACAGATTGTGACATAATCACAATGAGACAGATAACCGTAAGGTTGCCTTCCAATCCCCAATTAATCATTCGTTTTGTCGGCCCTTTCCCCTTCTCCGCGCGCTCAGTTCCTCCCCCGCCTTCCCCCCCCGTCTCCTCACTCGCCGTCTCCGCATTTCCCCCTTTCCTCACCCATCATCCCCCTCCCCTGGGCGATCCAGCGCCTGCTCCCCCCGGAGGCGCTCCCCTGGGCGGCACTGGCGGGGGGCGCGGTGGCAGCCGCCGCGATGGCAGCCGCAGGGCTGCGCAACCGCCAAATGCCCCCCCAAGGTCAGCAACAACAGATGAATCCCGGGCCTGGTTACAGCAATCACCAGCACCACGCATGCGACGGCGGCCAGCCTCTGCCGTTTCGCCGGGGTTCCGAAGCCTCGTGCTGCACCACTGCTGCTTCGGGAGTGCCGAGCGGAGTGGGGGGTGGGGGCGGAAGAGGGGGGAGATGCAGGGAGCATGGGGTCAGGGGGAATAGCCACGGTAGGAGTGGAAGGCAGGGGGGAGGGGGAGGAGGAGGAGGCACAGGAGGAGCAGCAGCAGCAGCAGCAGCAGTAGGAGGAGAAGGAGCAGGTGAAGCAGGAGGAAGGAAGAAGAGTGTGAACCTCGCATCAGCAACTGCACGCTCCCCTCACACCCCCACCACTACCGCCAACCAGACCAGCACTACCGCGAGTGCTCTGGAGCAGGGCTTGCAACGCCTCTCCCTTACAGCCGCAGATAAGAAAGCGCAAGAGCTCGGAGCTGGATCCGCAGCAGCCGCTTCTGCCTCTGCTGCTGCGGGCAGTGCGGGCGGCACTGGTGCTAATGTCGCTGGGGCTGGTAGCGGTGGTATCGGTAGTGGTGGTGGTAGTGGTGGTAACGGTGCTGCCGGTGGTAACGGTGCTGGTGGTGGTTCTAGTGGTGCTGCTGGTGATGGTGCCCTGGCTGTTCCAAACTCGAGTGAGGAAGAGGAGAAGATTGAATCCCCCGCGTCTGTGCTCCGTTCTAGAGGCAGTGCTGACGAAATGGGCCAGTTAAGGGGCAAGGCTGATGAAACTGGGCCATCTTGGTGCAAGACTGAGGGAACGGGGCGTTCTAGGGGTGTGACAGATAGACGCGCGCCCCCGTGTGTAACTTACAACACTCACAGCCCTCACAGTACGCCCAGGAACAAGACGGATGCGAGCGCTTCCCCCTGCTCGCGGCACTGCAAGCATGGGAGTGAGAGCGGGAGTTTTACAAGGGTGAAGAGAGAAGGAGAGAGAGAGCATGGGGGTGTGGAGGCGAGTGAGGGGGCGGAGTACGAGGAGGGGTCGCAGGACGAGTGGCATCGGGGGTATCAGTGGCAGCAGCACGCGGGCGAAATCGAACTGGAAAGAGGAGCCGCGAAAGCTGCGACTGACAGTTACCCATCGTATGCGTACGACAACGCCCTTTTCGAACTAGACAGCTCCCGTGTTGGCGGCTTCCCAGGATCAGAGACGTTCAGCAAATCCTCGCCAGGCTCAGCCTTCCCTGGAGTAACTCCTGAGGCCTCTTCAGGGTTCACCATCCCAGGATCGTCCATCCCAGGGTCATCTAACCCAGGTTCTTCCATGCCACAGTCGTTCGTCCCAGAGTCCCCTATCCCTGGGTCCACCCCAGGGTCTTTCAACGCTTCTCACTTGCGTTCTTCCGACGGATCCCTCTGCTCGCACCTGTCCCCGCTGCCCTCCCCTGCCGTGGGTAAGCCACTGGCATCGGCGGGTATGAGCAGCGCGGAGCTGGCCTCGCAGCATCCGCTTCACAGGCCTGTGGGTTCCATCGTGAGTGGGAGCAGAGCAGAGGTGCTGCGGCTAAGGGGGCAGCTGCGGCGGCGGGACGAGATGATTTTTACGATGCAGGCACGCATGGGGACGCTGGAGGAGGAGAGAAGGCGCGCGGAGAGGGAGACCGCGAGTGCTGTTGCGGCTGCTGCGGCGGCGAGGGAGGAAGCGGGGGAAGCAAGAGCGCAGCTGCGGGAGAAAGGCGAGTTGATTGTTTCCCTTCAGGCGAGAATGGGCGCGTTGGAGGGGGAGAGGAGGCGGGCGGAGGGGGAGCTTGCAAGGGCTGTGGCAGCAGCAGCGGCAGCAGAAGCGGCAAGAGAGGCGGAAAGAGCAAGTGCGGAAGCAGCAGGTGCAGAGCTGCAGAAGCGAGAGGAGTTGATTGTTTCGTTGCAGGCGAGATTGGTGATGCTGGAAGGGGAGAGGCGGCGAGTGGAAGAGGAGGGGACCGCGAGGGTTGGTGCAGGTGCTGCTGTTGCGAGGGCCGAGGCAGCAGCAGCAGCTGAGCTGCAGAAGCGAGAGGAGCTGATTGTTTCGTTGCAGGCGAGATTGGTGATGCTGGAAGGGGAGAGGCGGCGAGCGGAAGAGCGGGAGACTGCGAGTGCTGCGGCTGCTGCAGCTGCAAGGGAGGAAGCGGGCGCGGCTGAGATTGAGGTTCTGATGGGGCGATTGCAGGAGAGGGAGAGGGAAGTGGAGGAGAGTGGGAAGACGACGGAGGAGAGTGAGAGAAGGGCAGAGGAGAGTGAGCGGAGGGCGGAGGAGAGTGTGGGGAGGGCAGTGATGTGGGAAGAGAGGACGAAGGAGGCGGTTGCTGCACTTGAAGCCAAGGCCAAGGAGTTACAATCATCACAGCAAGCTCTAGAAATAGCACAGCAGGCACTGTCTTCTGCGTTAGAGGAGCTTGCTGTAGTGCGCGCTGCTGCAGCAGCAGCTGAGGCGCGGGCGAACGGGGTAGGGGAGAAGACAATTGTGGGAGAAACAGGGAAAGAAGGTGCAGCGTTTGTTACCCTCGCTGCAAGTGCTAGTGCTGCTGCTGGTGCTGCTTCTACAGGCAATTCTTTGGCTCACCAGACTGATCCTTCTGAATCTGTACAGCTGACGGAGCAACAGCTGGAGGACATCCGAGCCTTGCTGGCAGATTACCGAACCTTGGAGTCCGCTCTGGCGGAGGCTCGGGAGGAGTGCCGAGCCTTGGCGGCAGCTAAGGAGGAGGGGGAACGGGCGATGGCACAGGCACTGGCGGAGCATGCAGAGCTGGTGGAGGAGGTGGAGAGATTGGACGGGGAGATCAAGAGACTGAGGGAGAGACTTGTGGAGGATGAGGAGAAGGAGCGGGCAATGGCACAGGCGCTGGCAGAGCATGCAGAGATGGTGGAGGAGGTGGAGAGAATGGACGGGGAGATAAAGAGATTACGGGCAGAGGCGAGGGAGAGGAACGTAGCGGATGGAGAGGGCTCGGCGCTAGGTCAGTGGAAAAAGGAATGGGAGCAGGAAAGGGTGGGTGAGATGACGAGGTTGGACGGGGAATTGAAGAGACTAAGGAAGGAGTGTGAGGCGTTGGCGGCAGCTAAGGAGGAGGAGGAGCGGGCGAAGGTGCAGGCACAAGCAGAGCATGCGGAGATGGCGGAGCAGGTGGAAAGAATGGGGGCAGAAATCAAGGGACTGAGAGAGAGACTCGTCGAGGAAGAGGTGAGGGAGCAGGCGAGGGTGCAGGCAGTAGTGGAGTGTGCAGAGATGGCGGAGGAGGTGGCAAGAATGCAAGAGGAAATCAAGAGACTGAGGGAACGACACTTGGAGGAAGAGGCGAGGGAGCAGGCGAGGGAGCGGGTGAGGGCGCAGGCAGTGGCGGAGCATGCAGAGATGGCTGAGGAGGTGGAAAGGTTGAGGGCGGAAGTGAAGAGATTGAGGGAACGGCACTCGGAGGAAGATGCAAGGGAGCAGGCGAGGGTGCAGGCGTTGGCGGAGCATGTAGAGATGGCGGAGGAGGTGGAGAGAATGCGGGCGGAAATGAAGAGACTGCAGAATGAAGAGAGGAGGAGAGAAGCGGAGTTTGGCAGTAGAAGTGAATGGCAGAGGGGGAGAGAGAAGGCGGAGCAGAGGAGGAAGGAAGAAACGGTGGTTTGTGGAGGTGAATTGGGGGATACTCGCAGGGCTGGCTTGGCATTGGCAAGTGGGAGGAGGATAGAGGACGAGGGGGGGGAGGAGGCAATGACTGGAAAACAAGTAGATCCTTCAACTGAAGCAGGGGTAGCAGTCACAGCAGAAGACAAGGCAGCAGACACAGCAGAAGACAAGGCAGCAGACACAGAAGCAGTGGCAGTGGAATTGGCTGAGTCATTTCATCGAGTTACTGTCACTGATAGTAACTCCCATGAGGTTGCTGCTGCATCATATAATAACTCCGCCGATAGTAACTCTGCATTTAACGCATCTGCTGCTGCTGCATCTGCTGCTGCTGCTGCTGTGGGAGTAGAGGGCGCATCAGATGTCGCAGCAGCAGCGGTCCTGGCGAAGCTGGTCGCTGCTGCCGAACATGCCCTCTTTTTCCAGGGTAATTTGCCCAGAAATACCCCAGGATTCCCCACCAGTGACACAACTGAATCCGGATTCATTTCTGGAGCTGGGGGAGCAAGGAGCCTTATAGGGAGAGAGGAGAAGCAAGGGAAAGCAGGCAGCAGGGTAATGACAGGGTATTTAAGCCGTCACTCATCTGGTGGCGCGGAGGGCGAGTTGAGTCCTCTTAAGAGGGTTAGGGAGGATGACAGTATCGAGTATTTACTAGAGAACACCGACTCAAGCATGGGACGGCACAGGGGGCCTGTGGTGAGAAGATTAGGGTTTCACGTGGGCAGCAGCAACAGTGGTGGTGAAGGAGGGGTTATGAGTGCAGGCGCTACTAGTGGTGCTGCTGGCACTGTTGCTGCTGGTCATATCACTGCTGGTACTTCTGCACCTTGCGCCGCTGCTGCCCCTGGGGTTACTGCTGGGGTGGTTACTGCTCTGGTGGTTACTGCTGGGGTGGTCCCTGCGGGTATGGTCCCTGCTGTTGCGGGTGTGTCTTCTCCCCTGCTCGACCTGCTGTCTCCCCACGAAGTGGGTCTGCTGAGGCAGCACGCCATGCAGCTGAGGGCGAGGCTGGCACGTAGAGGCGGTGCAGGAAGCGAGGGAGAGGCAGGAGGAGGAACAGGTGCAGGAGAGGCAGGAGGCTCGGGCAGCAGTGATGCTGTCCTGGGTGCTACAGCTGGTGTCGCTGCTATAGCAGCAGCAGCGGCAGCAGCAGCAGCAGTAGCAGCAGCAGCAGCAGCAGCAGCAGCAGCAGCAGCAGCACCAGAAGTAGCAGCAGCCGAAGCAGCAACAGCAAGGGAGCAGCAGGGCAGCGAATTGTTCAGATTCACTGCATCTACCAATGGCACCAATTCTGCCCATCCAGCCGCAGCAGCAGCAGCTGCGTCTGGAAGGGACAGGCGTCTACTTGCTGACCTATTGTCACCCACGAGGGTGTTGGGAGGAGGGATTAGGGAGGATAGGGTAGGAGGAGGGATGAGGGGCAGCAGAGGTGGCACCAGGATTCACGACCGACAACACCAGCAGCACCACCAGCAGCATCAGCGACCTTACCACCAGCAGCACCACCAGCAGCACCACCAGCACCAGCAGCAGCGGCAGCAGCGTGCGAAGCAGGCGAGTGTGAGGGAGAGCAGTGGCCAGTTTGTGCTGGTGCCTGATAGCAACGACCCCAGCAAGAAGAGGTGGAAATGGGAGAAGACTGACCTGAGAAGCAGTGGAAGCAGGAGCAGGAGCAGCAGGGGGAGTGGTTCTCCTGGTGCTGCCGATGCTGCTGCTGGAAATGATGCCGCTGGGAGTGGTGCAAATGGTGAAAACGGCATGAATGATGTTGCTGCAGCAGGGGGGGCAGGCTCAGCCGGATCAGGCGTTTCTGGCTCCTCTCTTGCATCTCCTGTTTGTCTAAGAGGATATTTGGCCTCTGGTTCTGGTGTCTCTGGGGGTTCTGGAGACTCCCGTGCTGCTCGTGATGCTGGTGCTGGCTCTGGTGGCGCTGGTGATGCTGCTGCTGCTGGGACCGGTAGCAGTGTTGTTGATGCTGCATCAGCTGCTGCTGCCGGGGCGGCGACTGTGAGTGTTGTTGGGGAACGGGTCCCTGAACGGGTTTCTGCGGTGGTACCAGCTACTGGAGCAGAGGATGGGAATTCACGAGGTAAAAAGGCAGGAAAATATTTATGGAACCTTCTTGATGACATGTAGCAGAACTGTGAACCTTTACATGCTCTATTCCAGTTTAATTTTGAATACGGCTAAGAGTCCTCACACTTCTGCATCCATTTACAGCGCAACTTGTAGTGAGAACTGACGATGATAACGCGTACGCGCACGTTTCCCGACCTCGCCACGGGGATCCCAAGGTTCTCATATTCTCGTCGCAATCCGCAAACAATCATTCATAGCCGAGCCGTTCATAGCGAGCAGTCCGCCAGCGAGTCGTTACTGGAAAGCGGTGGATCAGCTTGCGGAGTCATATATTTCCTGGGCTCTTGTGTTGGACGATACGGCGGCGCGTTTGACGGGGAATGCTTAACACACTCAACGCTAATGTGTGTACCTCAACGCGACTCCTTTCGTGGATAATTTAGCAGCTTTTCGTCGAATCGGCAGCACTCCATGCGGGAAGTGGCGATTCAGATAGCTTCCCATTCAATGACAAAGATTGCGCCTTAAGAAGCGAATGGCGGAATAGCCGTACTAGACACGCCATTCTCGTTGCCGGAACGTTCTCATTCGAGGCAGAAAGCAGATCAAAAGGCACAGTAGCTGCTTCAGGCTCGCCATTGTTTGTTGAGCATTCATTCTGCGTGGTTCAGGCACGCTCCCTGATGCTGTAGCATTGAAGCGCGATGCCTACAACCTGGTATAGAGAGACAACCCTAGAAATCTGCTGCGCATTATGTTGGTAGAACGTTGCTTTAACGTCGAAACGCGCCGTTCGTGGTAACCTTTGAGTTTACTCGAGAGATTCGTAACGGCGTAACTTTTCTTCGCCGGCATTGAACTGCGAACACATATCCTGACCCGCTAGCGAAAGCAGATGCGAATGGCGAAAAATCTCAACTGCATCTTCTGCGACATCGCCAAGGGTGTCACTCGGCCAGGTCGCGAGCCGACCACGCTGCTTTATAAGGTGACTCGATTGTGGGTACTAGCCGTCCACGGTCCGTGTTTTTTTTTTTTAGGTCACTTTGAAAGTCCCACAAACGAGTACTGCTGCGATGGTTATTATTGTCACTAGATAGTCACATCCTGGCCCGGCATTGCATTGACTGGCATTGCATGCGATGGCATTGATTGGTAGACATAACAAGGAATGGCGTATGATGGCTTTTATTGACATGGCGTGGCATGGCATGGCATGGCATGGCATGGCATGGCATGGTGAAGTTTGACATGGAATGACGGTATGGTGTTGTGTCGTATGTGTCACCTTGTGATTCGTTGTGCAGCGCAGGATGACTTGTTAGTAGCATTCCCCGATATAAGGCCAGCTGCTTACAAGTAAGTCACAACACAAGCAGACGCGGACCAGGTTGGTGGCGGATGGTGGCAGTGGAAAATCCCTGTGAATGTGCTGTGTGTCCGTACATGTGTGTGCACGCATCTATGTGTCTTTTTGCTATACATTGTGTTGTTATTCCAATTGGGGTCATGTACAGTAAACGGTTTCATCCCCATTGAGCGCGTTTGTGTTTGCCATCTTGGTGCCGACATGCCATTTATCCGTGCACCCATCCATTTTTCAATGGATCTATGCATCCTTCCACTCATGCACATGCAGGCACATCCAGGTGATTCCCATCGAGCACATTCCAACAGTGAACGATCTCACCCCCAGCGAATCACATCGGCAACTGGGTGCGTTCTCTCTTACCGCTTTGCTGTTTATGCATTCATGTGCACGTATATGTGCGCCTTGATCACTGCATGCATGTGTGCATGTATGAGACCATCCATGTGTGCATGCACATGCAGCTAGTATCTACCCTCATCTCTCTCCATCTCTCTTCTCTCGCCTCCCCTTTTTTTCTGATCCATCCGTCTTGGCGCCTCTTCCAGTCCCCATCTTCATGCGTTCATCTCCACATTTGCACCCCACTCTTCCTTGCTCCTCCTCTCTCCTCCCTCCCCTGGTCCCGTGCAGTGGAGAGCATGGTAACACTGGGTCAGAAGCTCATGAGAGAACACGCACCCGACGCCAAGGAGTACCAGTGAGTCTGGGCGTTAGTAGATAGACCAGGTCTGTGACTCAGCGAGTCACTGTCTGTCAATCTCCGCTCCTCCCATGCAGTGGAGAGCATGGTAGCACTGGGTCAAAAGCTCATGAACGAGCATGCGCCCGACGTTAAGTAACACCAGTGAGTATGGGCGTTAGTGAGTCTATGTGGTGATACTTCAACCCCCGCGTATTGGACATACTTTTTGAGTGCCAGAAGTAACAGAAGGAGTATGCTCACGAGCATTTCCTCCTGACGCTTGGTTTTGAAACGCCTCAAAAAGCAATGCCAGACGCTCACTGGTACCAGCGAGTCTGTGCGAGCGCAAGTTGGTCCTGGCCTCCGTGAAACGACGTCGTGTATGAAGAAGTGTTTCGAGACGTTTCAAAAATAGCCACGTGTATGAAGAGGTTTTTTGAGACGTGGTACCAGCGCGTCTGTGCGAGAGCAAGTGGGCCCTGGCCTCGGTGAAACAACGTCTTCCATCCTGCCCCCTCTGCCCGGGCCTCACTGAAAGCCCGTGCATGAGTACGTGAGTAAGAGGCCCCCCTACACACACGTCCCCCTCCCACCCTCCCATTGCCCCCCTAGCTTTTGCTTCCATCGTCCAATACTCAACAGTGTCGACCACCTTTACCTGCACTGACCCTCCCCTCTCCACCCTTCCCACCCCTGCTCCCCCCCAATTCCGCCTACCTTCCGCTTCCACCGCCCGCCATTCAACAGCGCCTACCACCACCTTCACCTGCACTGACCCGCTTCTCATCCGCCCCTTCGTGCCTTTCCCCCTGTCTCATCCCCCTTTCCCCCTTCTCCGCGCCCTCTGGTAGCTTTGGCTTCCACCGTCCTCCGTTCGACTGTATCAACCCCCTCCACCTGCACTGCTTCGCTCGCCCATTCAACCCCCTCCACCTGCACGCTCGCCCATTCAACCCCCTCCACCTGCACTGCTTCGCTCTCCCATTCAACCCCCTCCACCTGCACTGCTTCGCTCTCCCATTCAACCCCCTCCACCTGCACTGCTTCGATCTCCCATTCAACCCCCTCCACCTGCACTGCTTCGCTCGCCCATTCAACCCCCTCCACCTGCACTGCTTCGCTCTCCCATTCAACCCCCTCCACCTGCACTGCTTCGCTCGCCCATTCAACCCCTCCACCTGCACTGCTTCGCTCGCCCATTCAACCCCCTCCACCTGCACTGCTTCGCTCGCCCATTCAACCCCCTCCACCTGCACTGCTTCGCTCGCCCATTCAACCCCCTCCACCTGCACTGCTTCGCTCGCCCATTCAACCCCCTCCACCTGCCACTGCTTCGCTCTCCCATTCAACCCCCTCCACCTGCACTGCTTCGCTCTCCCATTCAACCCCCTCCACCTGCACTGCTTCGCTCTCCCATTCAACCCCCTCCACCTGCACTGCTTCGCTCTCCCATTCAACCCCCTCCACCTGCACTGCTTCGCTCGCCCATTCAACCCCCTCCACCTGCACTGCTTCGCTCTCCCATTCAACCCCCTCCACCTGCACTGCTTCGCTCGCCCATTCAACCCCCTCCACCTGCACTGCTTCGCTCGCCCATTCAACCCCCTCCACCTGCACTGCTTCGCTCGTCCATTCAACCCCCTCCACCTGCACTGCTTCGCTCGCCCATTCAACCCCCTCCACCTGCACTGCTTCGCTCGCCCATTCAACCCCCTCCACCTGCACTGCTTCGCTCTCCCATTCAACCCCCTCCACCTGCACTGCTTCGCTCTCCCATTCAACCCCCTCCACCTGCACTGCTTCGCTCTCCCATTCAACCCCCTCCACCTGCACTGCTTCGCTCTCCCATTCAACCCCCTCCACCTGCACTGCTTCGCTCGCCCATTCAACCCCCTCCACCTGCACTGCTTCGCTCTCCCATTCAACCCCCTCCACCTGCACTGCTTCGCTCGCCCATTCAACCCCCTCCACCTGCACTGCTTCGCTCGCCCATTCAACCCCCTCCACCTGCACTGCTTCGCTCTCCCATTCAACCCCCTCCACCTGCACTGCTTCGCTCTCCCATTCAACCCCCTCCACCTGCACTGCTTCGCTCTCCCATTCAACCCCCTCCACCTGCACTGCTTCGCTCTCCCATTCAACCCCCTCCACCTGCACTGCTTCGCTCTCCCATTCAACCCCCTCCACCTGCACTGCTTCGCTCTCCCATTCAACCCCCTCCACCTGCACTGCTTCGCTCTCCCATTCAACCCCCTCCACCTGCACTGCTTCGCTCTCCCATTCAACCCCCTCCACCTGCACTGCTTCGCTCTCCCATTCAACCCCCTCCACCTGCACTGCTTCGCTCTCCCATTCAACCCCCTCCACCTGCACTGCTTCGCTCTCCCATTCAACCCCCTCCACCTGCACTGCTTCGCTCTCCCATTCAACCCCCTCCACCTGCACTGCTTCGCTCTCCCATTCAACCCCCTCCACCTGCACTGCTTCGCTCTCCCATTCAACCCCCTCCACCTGCACTGCTTCGCTCTCCCATTCAACCCCCTCCACCTGCACTGCTTCGCTCTCCCATTCAACCCCCTCCACCTGCACTGCTTCGCTCTCCCATTCAACCCCCTCCACCTGCACTGCTTCGCTCTCCCATTCAACCCCCTCCACCTGCACTGCTTCGCTCTCCCATTCAACCCCCTCCACCTGCACTGCTTCGCTCTCCCATTCAACCCCCTCCACCTGCACTGCTTCGCTCTCCCATTCAACCCCCTCCACCTGCACTGCTTCGCTCTCCCATTCAACCCCCTCCACCTGCACTGCTTCGCTCTCCCATTCAACCCCCTCCACCTGCACTGCTTCGCTCTCCCATTCAACCCCCTCCACCTGCACTGCTTCGCTCTCCCATTCAACCCCCTCCACCTGCACTGCTTCGCTCTCCCATTCAACCCCCTCCACCTGCACTGCTTCGCTCTCCCATTCAACCCCCTCCACCTGCACTGCTTCGCTCTCCCATTCAACCCCCTCCACCTGCACTGCTTCGCTCTCCCATTCAACCCCCTCCACCTGCACTGCTTCGCTCTCCCATTCAACCCCCTCCACCTGCACTGCTTCGCTCTCCCATTCAACCCCCTCCACCTGCACTGCTTCGCTCTCCCATTCAACCCCCTCCACCTGCACTGCTTCGCTCTCCCATTCAACCCCCTCCACCTGCACTGCTTCGCTCTCCCATTCAACCCCCTCCACCTGCACTGCTTCGCTCTCCCATTCAACCCCCTCCACCTGCACTGCTTCGCTCTCCCATTCAACCCCCTCCACCTGCACTGCTTCGCTCTCCCATTCAACCCCCTCCACCTGCACTGCTTCGCTCTCCCATTCAACCCCCTCCACCTGCACTGCTTCGCTCTCCCATTCAACCCCCTCCACCTGCACTGCTTCGCTCTCCCATTCAACCCCCTCCACCTGCACTGCTTCGCTCTCCCATTCAACCCCCTCCACCTGCACTGCTTCGCTCTCCCATTCAACCCCCTCCACCTGCACTGCTTCGCTCTCCCATTCAACCCCCTCCACCTGCACTGCTTCGCTCTCCCATTCAACCCCCTCCACCTGCACTGCTTCGCTCTCCCATTCAACCCCCTCCACCTGCACTGCTTCGCTCTCCCATTCAACCCCCTCCACCTGCACTGCTTCGCTCTCCCATTCAACCCCCTCCACCTGCACTGCTTCGCTCTCCCATTCAACCCCCTCCACCTGCACTGCTTCGCTCTCCCATTCAACCCCCTCCACCTGCACTGCTTCGCTCGCCCATTCAACCCCCTCCACCTGCACTGCTTCGCTCTCCCATTCAACCCCCTCCACCTGCACTGCTTCGCTCTCCCATTCAACCCCCTCCACCTGCACTGCTTCGCTCTCCCATTCAACCCCCTCCACCTGCACTGCTTCGCTCTCCCATTCAACCCCCTCCACCTGCACTGCTTCGCTCTCCCATTCAACCCCCTCCACCTGCACTGCTTCGCTCTCCCATTCAACCCCCTCCACCTGCACTGCTTCGCTCTCCCATTCAACCCCCTCCACCTGCACTGCTTCGCTCTCCCATTCAACCCCCTCCACCTGCACTGCTTCGCTCTCCCATTCAACCCCCTCCACCTGCACTGCTTCGCTCTCCCATTCAACCCCCTCCACCTGCACTGCTTCGCTCTCCCATTCAACCCCCTCCACCTGCACTGCTTCGCTCTCCCATTCAACCCCCTCCACCTGCACTGCTTCGCTCTCCCATTCAACCCCCTCCACCTGCACTGCTTCGCTCTCCCATTCAACCCCCTCCACCTGCACTGCTTCGCTCTCCCATTCAACCCCCTCCACCTGCACTGCTTCGCTCTCCCATTCAACCCCCTCCACCTGCACTGCTTCGCTCTCCCATTCAACCCCCTCCACCTGCACTGCTTCGCTCTCCCATTCAACCCCCTCCACCTGCACTGCTTCGCTCTCCCATTCAACCCCCTCCACCTGCACTGCTTCGCTCTCCCATTCAACCCCCTCCACCTGCACTGCTTCGCTCTCCCATTCAACCCCCTCCACCTGCACTGCTTCGCTCTCCCATTCAACCCCCTCCACCTGCACTGCTTCGCTCTCCCATTCAACCCCCTCCACCTGCACTGCTTCGCTCTCCCATTCAACCCCCTCCACCTGCACTGCTTCGCTCTCCCATTCAACCCCCTCCACCTGCACTGCTTCGCTCTCCCATTCAACCCCCTCCACCTGCACTGCTTCGCTCTCCCATTCAACCCCCTCCACCTGCACTGCTTCGCTCTCCCATTCAACCCCCTCCACCTGCACTGCTTCGCTCTCCCATTCAACCCCCTCCACCTGCACTGCTTCGCTCTCCCATTCAACCCCCTCCACCTGCACTGCTTCGCTCTCCCATTCAACCCCCTCCACCTGCACTGCTTCGCTCTCCCATTCAACCCCCTCCACCTGCACTGCTTCGCTCTCCCATTCAACCCCCTCCACCTGCACTGCTTCGCTCTCCC